TGTGTGTGTGTGTGTGTCCGCTCTCTCTCTGTCCGCTCGCAGAAATAATAATACTAATAATAATAGGTAGCTATGACATCCTGCAGACGTGCACACACTGCAATTTAGAGCCGGTCTGCACTGCATCAGCGCTGATGTCGAACAGGAATGTCCGCGTGTGTTCTCACACAGATGTGCTGAAGTGAGGGGTGGACACCATTGATTGGCATGCGTTAAATATCGCAATTTTATGCTTTCCTGTGCAGAATTTTTGTCCTAGATTAGTAATTCTGGTTAGTTAAACAAAGTTATGTGTGGGTATATGAATATAGGGAATATAGATAGCCTATTGATATGACTTATTTTAGGTGGACAATGACGCCATTTTCTTCAAGAAACAAACTTGTATTATTTTCCTGTTATCACTGTAAGCTGCTTTGATACAGTCTGTATTGTAAAAAGCGCTGTATAAATAAAGGTGTCTTGACTTGAAGGACCAAGGATTTGATTTTTGGGGCCGATACCAATACTGATAAAAATACAAATGTTGTCAGTAAAATAGATTATTGCTTTGGTCATGTTTTAAATTAGCAAAGTTCAAAACAAAGCCATTGAAGTATATTAGGTACAATGTAAAAAAAATATTGTGATTTTAACGTTAAAAGACAGCTTTGAATTGGTTAAAAGGGTGGTATAATGCCCTTTTCACAAGATGTGAAATATGTGAAAAATACCACAAATATGTGAAAATATACCATGTTAAATGCTTTTTGAGGGTGAGTGTGTGTCCCTTTAAATGCAAATGAGCTGCAGCTCCCGGCACAGGGGGCGGAGCTGCAAGAGCTCGTGTCCTACTCACACACATGCACTGGACATTTCAAACACGTTTAGCTTTTTACGTTTAAACCAGAATCAGACAAAGATGGAGACATTTTCAAAATTACAGCTATTGTAAGTCATTTTATAATTTACAGTGAACAAAAAAATGTAAATTGAGATTCCCACAATTCCCATATCACTTTACATTTGATGTATTTTCGTTAAAATAACTTTCCCTGCGTCCCAATTCGCTTACTTATGCTACACCCTAAAAGTATGTACTCTTTTTGTGAAGAAAACGTACTTTTGAGTGTGTAGCAAAAGAGTAGGCAAGCTTTAGGACATACTATCAGTCATCTTTAACGGACAGCTCTGTCGCGTGCTGCGTGCATCCTGTCACCGTAAACTGCCCTGTCACTCATCTTGTCAAAGTTAAAATCCTCCATTCAATCTAATTTGATTTCCTACCGTATCGGAGCACGTTGATCTGCCAGTCGTGGGTCTTTCATGCGGATCAGAGCCATGCAGATGCTTTGCTTTCCTCGTGTTTGCAAGGCGGCTGGTCTATTATGGGTGCTGGGGCGCCGCCCCTCCTACCATAGATATATACACTAGACCTCACCTTGGATACGGCAGTTCATTAGAACGAATGCGTCAATAGAGCCGCCATCTTGAAACAGGGGAGCCCCTCCACTTTAATGCATCAGCGTCAATGTAGTAGACACAGGTCTAACGCAAATAAAATCACCATAAATCATCATGAATGCGATTTTTCTTGTTTTTTTGGTTTGTTCCAACGGTCAGACATGTATTTATCATTGATTCCAGAAAGAAATTTTTTTTTTACTTTTTTTTTATTTTTTTTTAAACGTTCTTCCTAGTTCAGATTTCATCCGTGAACTTCATACGCTGCACAAAAGTCCGCCACTATCAATGAATTCGAAGTAAAAGCAGAGATAGCAGCGTTACCTAGCTACTTGACAAGACCCCTGTTCCAAGATGGCGGCGGTTTTGACGCATGCTTAGAACCCCCAGGTGAGGTCTAGTGTATATCTATGCCCTCCTACCAGGTTAAAAAAAAAAAGTTTTTTTAATTTGACAAAAATAGGACTTTCTTCTGTAGAGGTGTACGTGTTTTACACAATAGAAGGACGGGGAGGTGGGGATATTTTTGTAAGCCAGCTTCATCGTGTAGTTTTATCCTCGGGGCGCTGAGAAAGAGCGCCCTGATATCCTATTAAAACGTCACTAAATTTGCTCAATTCAACCAATCAGTGACGCGCAGTGTTAATTCTCCAATGTGCGCTTTGCCTCAGCGCCCTTAGGAGAATAACATGGAGTTTTGAGTTACTTGATGTGGTCACGTATTTTACGTCATATAGGAATAATTATATAAATCATTGTTACATTATTATAATAATTGTTTGGCATCAACACCATTGATAATGTAATGTAGACGGAGACTCATAATTAAAAAGATGTTTGAGCCCTCTTTATTGTCCTGGTACAAATCAATGTTTTATCTTTGTTTAACGAGCAGTTCATGGGTTGAAGCTCTTAATTTCAAAGACCACGAGACTGATGCATTTAATTTTCTACATGGCAGTTCAATTAACATTGCATTTTTAGACCATTGGTATTAAGGAGCAAAGGCCTAAAATGCACCAGAATGCAGGAAATCACATCTACGAAATTCAAAATTTGATGGGGGAGAACCCCCAGACAGAATAGACATGGAAATGCACATTTACGAACTTAAATGGTTGTAATTCAAGAATGCTTTAGAATATGACGTAAGATTGGTCTTGTTGTAAAGAAGACATTTGGCAGATATTTTAGAAGTGAAATAAATTAAGAAAGTGAAACAGAAAAAAAGTTATAGATTTTTGAGTTTATGGAAATGTGCAATGTAAAAGAAAAATAATTATTCATATTTTATATAAAATATATATTTTCAAAAATCTGGGCAACTCTAAAACTGCAGAAAATCAAAGCCAAAAATCTGAACAAGTTTTAGGTTGATATCTCAAAAAATGAGCTTTCAGTACCAAACTTTTCCACTAGATGACAACCAGACTCCATTACTGCCCATAGAAGGCACACCCATTTCCACATGTGTTTTGAGTGATCTGAATCATTATTTACACAATTGTCACACAATTTATGAAGTAGACATCCTATTCAGAAGTAGCCTGGGAAGTTTGTCAGATTTTGATATGAATTCAACCTCTAAGAAACACATACAAAGAACACACATGCTCGCTGCCACATCACAAATTAGACCTTAGGAATATGAAGATATTCTTGCTGGAAATTGATAAATTGGCCAATGCATCAGTGCATCTCTAATATAATGTAGCCCATTGTCCACAGTTAACATGCAGTAAAATAAAACACTGTGAAAAGTACTCATATCACGTGATTTGAACAGATATGTTGTTAGGTGCACTTGAGGATCATGCCGGTTAAAGTATGACGGTGGTGTTGGCCTGAGGGCGAATGCCTCAGTCTGATAGTGTGTGTTCTCTGACTTCGGGATGTGTGTGTGTGAATGATGTTCTAGGCCTGTATAATTACCGGTGCGGCTGTGTTACTGTCACATCAGACCCGCGTCCACCGTAATGAAACCCTTCAGTGATGAAGAACACACTCGCATTCACACACACACCCTGTGATCAGTGTTTCCTGTATTATAAACTCAGTCACTCTGTTACTAACTCTCTCTCTCCTGCTTCCTCAGTATTTCAACTTCTCATAACCTTTTGCGGAGTGTGTTATTTATTTTATAAATGTTAGTTTGTGCATCAGACTTTACAAGCATTAGAAAAGTGATGACGGTCATTATCAGTGCATATGTTATTAGTGCTTATTTAAAGCTCCCTTACATTAATGTCCCTTACATTTACAATCTCAGGATAATCGCTGTGTTATTTTAAAATTATATTCACATTTTTAATCTCAGGATAATCACATTCGATAAAAGTGATCATTTTTTAATGTGGCTGCCAATATTTACGGCTTGTTTAGGTTTATGTTCCAGATAAACTTTTCATTTATACATGTATATGCTGTGAAGTTCAATGTGATAAACAAGTTATTTTCTATGATTTTTAAAACTGAGAATATAGTATAGGCTATTTCTTTTGTCTAATTGTAAAGGCTGTTTATTATTGAGCTTTAAGTAGCAGGAGCAGTGACATTACACATGAATAATGGCTCCTAAAACAAAACTAAAACTGATTATTATTATAACTGTAAACAAATCGGTGACGCTTCATTTTACAGTACAGTACTTACAGTGTACTTAGGCTAAAGTACTGGCTAAAATAAGGTAAGTACATGGAACAGGTATAGGTTCAGGGTTAGTACTAGAATTACCCAGTAATTGTAGTTACTAAAATAAGTGATTTTCTTTAGTCTTGAGGCAGGATCATGACAGACCCATGTTTTGTGTGCTCAAATACTTTAGATAAAATAATAAGTTTTTAACAATGTCTAAGCATTAACACATGCTCAAAACAATCACTTTA